CCCCCCCCCCCCGGTCCGGGCTCCGGGCTTCCTTCTCACCTGAGGCTCCGGCGTTGTTGACCAGGATGTCCAGGCGCCTCTCCTCCGCCAGGAACTGCCGGGCGAAGGCGCGCACGGAGGCCACGGAGCTGGTGTCCAGGAGGCGGAGGTGGACCTGGGGGTTGCCGGTGGCCCGGCGGATCTCCTCCAGGGCGGCCTCCCCCCGCTCGCGGCTGCGGCAGGCCAGGACGGTGCGGGCGTTCCGGCGCGCCAGGTCGCGAGCGATCCACTTGCCGATCCCTGCCAGGAGGAGGAGGAGGAGGGTCCCGAGTCACCCAAAGGGCAGGCCCGCCTTGCCTCCCGCCCGACCCGCCCGGAGCCTTCCTCCTCTTCTTCCTCCTCCTCCTCCTCCTCCTCCCAACAGCCGCCGCAGGTGGGGATCCCGAGAGGGCCCCCGGCCGCCCCCGCGAGATGCTCGTTGCGTTTTTAACAACAACAAGGGCAGCAACCGTGGTCGGGCCTCAGAAAGGAGGGGAATCGCCCCCATTTCCAAGGCCTTGGCCGGTCTGTCAGGGCCCGATCCAGGGCCGCCGGTCCTCTGGCCGCCTCGACTCCCTTCTGGAAGGTGAAGGGGGCCGGCGAGGCAGGTGAGGCCTGTCCCGCAGGACTTCTTGTACTTCCACCAGCAGGTCTCTGGGCAGCTGAACTCCTCCCTGCCCCCCCCCCCCCCACTGTGTCTCTTCTCCCCCCCTGCCTGGTCATCTCTAGAAGGAGCCTCCCTCTGGAGGGGGGGAGGAGGAGGAGGAGGAGGAGGTCTGTAGCAGCATGGAGTCACCCTTTCCTCTCCCTCCTCTTGATTTTTACCCAAATGCGCTCAACGGAGGGACACCGCCAGCCAGCTCCGATTCATGGATCTGGAAGCCATAGCGAGGGCCTGGGATCCGTTGTGGAGTTCACAAGATGGAGCCCCAGTGCCTCGGCTCCACGGATTCGTGACCAGGTGCCCGGTGTTCCTTTTACAACCACCTGGCCTTGCCCTTATTTCTCCTTCCACCACCACCACTTCTGGGTTGGCCCATTCTGCCCCTTGTCCGGTCCACCCAAAGGAAAGCCCCTCCAGCTGGAAGACAACCCCAGCCCACGTCTCCACGCCCGGCACGGATCTTCAGACTCCGAGGGTCTTGGGGGTGGTGGTTCAGCAACATGTCAGGGAAGCAAGAAACCATGGAGGCCACCTTTCAGGGTCAGGGAGAACAGGGGGGGGCCCCCACAGGCTTCAGGACACGAACCCATCCTCTGGGTAGCCCGGGCATGGCCAGGCTCCAGTGGAGAAGGCAGTGTGCCATTGGTCAAGCAAAAAGCTCCGGCGACTGTGCAGGGGACCTTCGGCAGAGGTTGGGGGACCAGAACCCCCCCCAAAAAACAGGCAGCGCCAAACGTGAGCCAAGGGCCAAGTCCTGCCCAAACCTCGCCCAAGCGAGTGTAAGTACCTTCTGCCAGAAGTGGGGCCAGCCTGGCCCCCCTGAACCACAGAGGGCTGCGCTTCCCGTCCCCCCTTCCCCTCTCAATATGTGCCCCCAAGGCTGAAAGAGAGGGGAAAGGGCCTGCCCTTTGGGAGCCACTTTCACCCACCTTCTACAATCTAATGTGAGATCATCGGGGCTTTTCCCCCCAAACCAGCTGTGACCAGCTGTCCCTCTTTCCAGCTGTGACTACCCTCCTTCCTCAGAGCAGCAGGTTCCCCCACCCACAAGTTACTTTCTAAGGGCATTTTGTGGACCTTTCTAAACAAAAATCGACTGGATTTTTCCCAGTGCCTTTCCCTTGTCCATCCTAAGAGACACTGAAGCCTTTGGGTTTTTCTCTCTCCACCCCCAACCTGTTGTATCAGAATGGACCCCTGCAGGCAACCAGAGAGTAAATCCCTCTGTTTTTTTTAATGGCCCCATAACCACAAGGCTCTGAGTTAACCCCAGGCAGCCACAACATCCTGCCCTGGATAAAGGCACCCTGGGGAGCCCCGGGAACCCCCTCTGAGACCAGGTACCACCTGTTCTGATCTCTGACCGCTAAACCCGATCTTGCTGCCCAGGTTTGTTCCCGCAAAATGCATGCACACGCACACGCCTTTCTCTTTCCCACCCTCTTGCACTGACTTGCTTGCTTGCTCACGGGAGCGTTGAAGGATGAGGGCCAAGGGCTGCCCTGTTCAGGCTGATCGGGCAGCCGCTGCTGCCGTTTCCCGAGGGGCAGAAGCAGCCCCCCCCCTTGCCAAGCAGGGTTCCATTCTTGCTCCAGGCATGGCAGCTGGCGGGCCGTGCGGAGCGGCCCAGCTAATGTGAGGCCGCGCCAGCCCTTTCCCTCCCTCCCAGAGTATTCATGGAAGGTTCCAGGAGCCCTGCAGGAAGTAATGCAGCCCCACAGGTGACTTTGGTACAGCTTGGCTGGGCCGCGTACAGATCGCAAAACACCCACCCCAAAGGCCCGGGTGACGGGTGGGCCACCTTTTGTGGCTCTCGGGTGGCTGAGCACCCTGAGCCCAGCCTTGCTGGCAGACTCACCGGTGCTGGCTCCCGTGACAACAGCTGTTTTGCCCGTCAGGTCCACGGGGCACACGTCAGGACTCCATCCCCGCCGTCTTCTTATCCAGAGCACCACAGACAGGACCAGAGAACAGGTAAACCAGATGGGGTGGGAAAAGAGAGCCAGCACGGCCATGGCCGGGACTGGGTACGGGAGGATGGCAGAGTGTGCTCCCCGTGCCGTTGCTCCCTGGCAGGTCGGGAGAGAACGCCACTTTCTTGGCTGACTGGAACAGGGGCAGAGTCCAGATCTGAGGAGTAAAAGGCAGGCAATTCCATCAGACCAAAGACCAAAGACGCCCAAGCAAAGGGTGCTGCTTATATAATAAGCACAACGCTTCAGGCACTCTCTGGGTGGTTTATTTATTTATTTTATTTCTTTATTCCATAACGCTTCAGGCACTCTCTGGGTGGTTTACAAGTTAATCACCCAGGCTACCCTTTGCCGCTGCCCCGGAGGACATTCCAGCACCTGCCTCTGGAGAGGAGAGTGGGGAAGGGGGCTAGCATTCCCGCAAGAGGTCCAGGGGTGGGGGGTGAGGTGGGGAAACAGAGGAAGAACAAGGTCAAGCCCACATTCTCCAGGCAAAGCTGCAAAACAACTACAGATAAGTGATCTGAGGTCAAGAGCCAGGGAGTGACTCACCTGCCTTGATAGCTTCGCATATAAACATGACTCCCCGCTCAGACCTAGAGACCCGTACAGTTATAAACTGTTTCCTCTCTATGTTGAGACCCCACACGAACTGGGACCTTTAGACACCCATTCGGTCCATTAAAGCTCTGAAGATAAGCTCTTTCACAACGCAGGGCATAATTTGAGCAGCTCTAAAGATCCTCTCTGGAAGTTCATATGAAACCACTCTTTTTTTTTTTTTACTGCAAAAACCCTTACAAACTTTTGTCAACTACTTACCTGTACTGCCAATGAAATAGAGACCTTTCAACAAGCATTTGATTTTTTTAACAAGAAGATCTCAAACCCTGTGTCTTTTCTGGCTGACACAAGAGCTCATGATAAGAATAATGCAACAACCCTAAATTAGAACACTTCTCAATAGGGAGAAAGGAGTTATTGGAAGGGGGAGGGAAACCAGGGGAGCCTGCAGGCGGACTAAGAACTAACCAAGTTGTGCTAGTTATAGATCAAGATCGTATCAACTCTGGAATCTGGACAAATAAGAAAAGCCTCCACTACTCGTTGAGCCAGCTGATTTGGCCCGATATAAAGAACATTGACTTTGATAAAGGTTGTGAAAGAGCCAAATTTACTTACCATCAAGAACGAGAGGTCCACCTGACGATCCCCCTGAAGACTGTATTCTCAAAGGCTTTCACGGCCGGGATCCGATGGTTGTTGTAGGTTTATGTTTTTGTTTTTTTATAGCTGATCCCACAGCTACAAATACTCAACTATCCCACACATTACATCCGAACACAGACAGAGGTTTGACTCCTGTCCTCTGAAGAGGATGGCAATAGAGACTGGTGAAACATTAGGAAGAAACACATCCGAACACAGACAGAGGTCTGACTCCTGTTCTCTGAAGAGGATGGCAATAGAAACTGGTGAAACATTAGGAAGAAAAACCTTCAGAACATGGCCAAACAGCCTACAACAACCCTCCAAGATTGTCTGAAAATGCAAACGTTCCTCTTCTTCTTTGGAATATTGGCAACTAGAGTATTCTCTGATGAGACTGTCTGTCCACTCCTGTCTGTCCACTCCATGACTTTAAGCTTCCTGCCTGTTCCTAGAACAACCTCAAAAAACAAACATGCCACCGTAGAGTGCTGATAAACAAGTTGCACGGCATACCAGCAAACCTGCCTCAAAACCTGGTGAGATTAAGATCTTGCCAATTGCGACCTCAATCACCTTGTTAACCCCTCAGAAGAAGATCTTATAGAAGACCATATGCACATGGCCTTGATGTTGGGAGGCCCCCAGAACTCTATGAAAAGCCTGTGCTCTGTGGCCAGGACCCTTCCTCCCTCAGATGAAAGCATCCCCTCGACGCAGCCCCCAGATCCTGCTGCCAAGAAGCCAAATGACAATAAAAGCTCAGGACAGCAACACAGCTCTTCGGACTGGACTGAAAGCTGCACCTTGACACAAATTCTGGCTTGTTCTCTGGCTGCTTTTAAAACCTGGGACTCTGACGGGGGCATGGGGATTAAAAAGAGGAACCTGGGAATGACAGACCAGTCAGCCTGACATCAGTCCCAGAGAAAATTCTGGAGCAGGTTATAAAAAGGTCACTCTGCAAGCAGCTTGAAAGCAATGCAGTAGGAACTAGAAGCCAACATAGATTAGTCAAGAACAAACCCTGCCAGACTAATATGATTTCATTTTTTCATTGGGTAACCTCCTTGGTAGATGGGGGGAATGCTATAGACGTAATATACCTTGACTTCAGCAAAGCCTTTGACTAAATGTCCCGTGATGTTCTGATTAGCAAGCTAACTAGATGTGGGCTGGATAGCATAAGTGTTACAGAATTGTATTGAGAGAGTGCTTATCAATGGCTTATTCTCAAACTGGGCGGAGGTAATAAGTGGGGTGCCATAAGGTTCAGTCCTGGCCACGGTGCTCTTCAATATTTTTATTAGTGACTTGGATGAGGGAGTGCAGCGAATACTTATCAAATTTGTGGATGACACAAAATTAAGTGGAATAGGTAATACCTTGAAGGACAGGAACAAAATTCAAAAATATCTTCACAGGATTGAGTACTGAGCTAAAATCAAAAGACTGGAATTGAACAGGGATAAGTGCAAAGTTCTACACCAAGGGGGAAAAACCACCCAGATGCACAGTTACAAGATGGGTGATACTTGGCTCAGTAATACTACGAATGAGAAGGATTTTGCAATTGTTATAGATCAAAAGCTGAATATGAGCCAACAGTGTGATGTGGCTACAAAAAAAGCTAATGCTATTTTAGTCTGCATTAACAGAAGTATTGTCTCCAGATTCCATGAGGTATTACTACTCCTCTATTCAGCACTGATTAGGCCTCACCTTGAGTCCTGTGTCCAGTTCTGGACACCCTGCACTTAAAGAAGGATGCTGCCAAACTGGAACAAGTTCAGAGGAGGGCAACAAGGATGAACAGGGGGCTGGAAACCAACCCTTATGAAGAAAGGCTGAAAGAACTGGGCATGTTTAGCCTTGAGAGGGGAGACAGAATAGCACTTTTCAAAGACTTGAAATGCTGTCATTCAGAGGAGGAGGGGGCAGGATCTGTTCTCAATCATCCTAGAGTGCAGGACACGCAACAATGGGCTCAAGTTACAAGGAAGACAGATTTCGGTTTGACTTGGATTCCTGCCTCGAGCAGGGGTTGGACTCAACGAGGCCTCTTAAAGGCCTCTTCCAACTTCATTATACTGACAACCCAACAACCACCATTGATACTTTGGGAAATGCTTCATCGCATTCTTACAGCCTATGTTCTTCCACAGCAGCAAACAGTTCTGATGAATTAATTCTACCTAGTGAATGTATATAGCCCATTGCTCATATTCCTGGCCCTGCAATATATTATGAAAGACTAGCGTCAGAGACACTAATCTCCACTGGCCCTCCTTCTAAACTTAACTCAGCTAGAGTTTCGGTGGTGCCATCTTCATTTCAACTGAAACTGAAACCAGTCTTCAGAAGACCCACCTGTAGAACCAATCAGAGGGTACAGCTCTGTCAATCTGGGCAAAACTGGGACTGGTCTACGGTTGGCTGCAGACTAGAGCGCTTGTGTTTACCTTGAGCCACATGAACGAGGCTCAAACCAGTCAGCCCGTGAGCAAAAAAAAAAGGGGGGGGGTTGGAAAACAGATTTAAATAGCAGAGGGGCAGCAATGTCAAGATAATCCCTCCTGCTCTGCAATGTCAAAAACAGCAATGGGCAGGGTAATGGTGGTGGAGGAAGGGGAGACATAAAGGAAAACCTGGTCAGAGTGAATCCAAGCCACAAGAACTGACAGTTCTCCACTTTTCTGTTGAATCATAGCAGGCAGTCTTTGTGCAGAAGCTCCAAGGGTGTCAATGTTTGATCTCTGCTATCTCCTGGGAGTCTTGCTTCCAAGCATTGTGCACAGCTGAGCCAGCTCACATCATTTCTTTGGACATGAATCTAGAGAATCTTCCTACCGGGCCAGCAGCAGTCATAGTGGCAGGCGTTAAATGGCTCATAAGGTAAAGGTAAAGCTTCCCCTTGACAATTTTTGTCCAGTCGGGTTCGACTCTAGGAGGCGGTGCTCATCCCCGTTTCCAAGCCATAGAGCCAGCGTTTGTCCAAAGACAATCTTCCATGGTCAAATGGCCAGTGCGACTTAGACACGGAACGCTGTTACCTTCCCACCGAGGTGGTCCCTATTCATCTACTTGCATTTGCATGCTTTCGAACCGCTAGGTTGGCGGGAGCTGGGACAAGCGACGGGTGCTCACTCCATCACGTGAATGGAGATGTACAGACCTTACAGCACAGAAGCTTCTGCAGTTTAACCAGCAGCAGCACCAGGTCCCTCAAAATGGCTCATAGCCCAGTTGAAATTAGGGAAGGCCCCTGGGATGGACAGGATTCCTCCAGAGCTGATTAGAAATAAGAGCTTGGTGAGTGCCAGGGCTTATCTGGATTGACCAGATGGCCCAGATGCCTCCCCATTGGGGCACATCCATCATTGTTCCAAAATATGAAAAAAGAGCTACCTCTTATCCTTCAAATTATCAACCCAGAAACTCGCTTAGTGTTGTGAGCAAGCTGTATGCTAGACACTGTTGGCAGAAGTTCCGAGATTTCTTAATGGGAGAACAAACAGGGTTTAGGGTCTGTCATTCCACCCTTGATCAGCACCGGATACTACACATTTGGTAGAGAAGCAGAGCACCAGGCACCATAGGGCGCTTGCATTTGAAAGCACCCCAGGGGGTAGGTTATGGGCCAAACCTAAAACCTCCTCTAGAGAATGGAGATTTCTTGCACTAACGTATACCTTTACGCAGAAAAGCCCATCTCAGAGTAAGGTGTAACCCACAGGGCTGTCTATCTCACAGGGTTATTCTCAGAAGAGGTGTGAAAGAGAGACGTACTCTCACTCCCTATGCTTCACCGTTTATATTACTTCTACAGCTCAAGCCTGAACCAACCCTGATTTTCACCTGCCCACTTATAAACAGACTGATGCCTGCTCTGCTGTAAGCATATGATACGGTAATGTTATCCTTTATTAAAAGAGGGCATAGAAAAGCCCTACAAGCTTTTTCAGCATACTGCTCTGAAGAGCATCTTGTTATAAACCGCCAAAAGACCAACATTTTGCTTTACGCCAAAAGGTTTGTTAAGCCCAAGTGGCAGATAGATGGGTGTGACACCAAACAGGTTAAGACCTATAAATACCAAGCTGTAGCATTGCAAACAACTGGACTGTGGAGAGTCCCCACCACTGAAAAAACACTTAGAGAACTATGGATGGCCCTCTGGAGAGTCTTCTTTTCAAAGAGGGCTCTGCATACTGCCTGCACCAAAAGTCTTCCAAGGCAGGAAAGTAACCAGCCCAACGTCTGGATGGTTCAGGCCTCTGCATGCCTAAAGGCCTCCTCCACCCCCTTGGGACAGGACCGCCGAAATTCCTGAGGGCTGTATTTGGGCAGCCACACCGTGTCTCCAATGCCCTGCTGAGATTAGAAGCTGGAACGGTCCTGCTTGAAGCAAGTGTGTGGCTTCAACTAAGCAATCTTTGGCTGAAGTTAAAACTTAATCCAATTGGCACGTCTGATTTTAATAACCATCCCTCGGGCTGGGCAAGAGCAGTGAAGGGAAAAATATCATCCTACGGGATATCCTCCCAGCTTTGTTACATTTGGGATTTATGAAAGCCAGAGAGACCATTAGGAAGTGGACGGGTCCCATATGACTCAGTGGCTGGTTTTCACAGTCAGATCTCCATCCCAGCAGATTACCTTTACAATGGAGAACTTGCACAACATCAGAGAGCTTTCACTGCATGGCCTGTTTCAGTGCCCGGCCTTCAGCTGTTCCAGAAGGAAGATACAGTGGTGCCCCGCAAGACGATGTTAATTCATTCCATTGAAATCGCTGTTTTGTGAAACATCGTCTTGCAAAAAGCGTTTCCCCATTGGAATGCATTGAAATCCGTTTAATGCATTCCAATGGGGGAAAATCGTCGTCGTCCAGTGAAAATCACCCATAGGGAAGCCGCTTTGCTGTATAGTTAATTGGCCACTAACTGCTGGAAAGTGAGGACATTAATCTTGTCTTTTGTGTTGGAAAGGCAGAGACAGTTCACCAGGTCCCTCCTGCACAGAGCAGCTACAGGGCTGTGCCAGAGAACGGCAGGCCTGGCCTGGCCATGACCCTTTGCCCCTTTTTGGTACTGTACATATTTTGCTCCCCTCCCCTTCAAAGCTGCTCCTTCGGTAGCTCTCGGATTGCCTTCCCCGCACCTGCCCTGTCTGGTCCCTTTGCCCCTTTCTGGTACTGTACATATTTTGCTCCCCTCCTTCGGTAGCTCTCAGATTGCCTTCCCCGCACCTGCCCTGTCTGGCACACAGAGGGGGAACACTCCCACCCTACCCCCTGATCTAGGGATGGTTGGCCATGCTGGGTGTGGAGCACATATGGAGCATAAGGCCTCTGGCCACTTCCTGTTCCTTTGCGCCACAGGTCAAGGGACTACCCAGGGCAGGGAAGCAAATTAGCCCTAAGAAGTGCAATCAAGTGACTTATTGCTGAGCTCAGGTCAGGAATGAACCAATCGATTTATTCATTCACCCACCCTTAGGGAACGGGGGGGGGGGGGAGAAAGAGCCTTTGGCACCCAGCAATTTCAACTAAAAAAGCTGAAAAGAGGGAGGATGGAGTGAAAGGCCTTTTTATTATGAACCCACTGGGTTATGGGGTTTGCTCCTGGTGGGGCAGAAAGCTCCTTTGGCACCCAGCAAGTTCAACTAAAAAAGCTGAAAAGAGAGAGGATGGAGTGAAAGGCCTTCTTTTTATTATGAACCCACTGGGTTTGCTCCTGGTGGGGCAGAAAGCTCCTCCACGTTCTGGCCATCGCCCCTGCTCACAGCACGGCGCCAGGGCGCAAGCGCGGCAGAGGCCTCGGCTGCTGGACAAGGTGCCCCACGGGAGCTGCCGGGGGGAAAGGCACTTGCGGGTGCAGGGGGTGGAGATCTCTAGGCACCTCCGCTGCCTCAGCTTCCTTCTCTGGAAGGGGGGCCGCAGTGGGCTGAAGACGCTTGGCTGTGCGGCCCCCGGGACGGATGGTCACTCCGGGGGCTGGCTCGACACTCTCCGTCAGCAGGGTGGGCTTCACAAAGATGAGGCTCGTGGGCTCCAGGGCCCTTCCGGGTGGGGGCTGCAGAGGGAAGGGGGCCTGCTCCGACGGCCTCTTCTGCATGACGGTGGCTGCACCGTCCCACAACAGCACCTGAGGAGCCCCGGGCAGCTGGCCACCGCCGCCGCTCGGCTCACGGATCTCAACCCTGCCCCGGGGGAGCTTCAGGGGGTGGCAGCGTCCCGAGACTGTCTTCAGAGCCTTTTGGCGGCGGGACTCCACGTCCGGGTCCAAGACCTCCACGGAGGGCTTGATCCAGCGCTTGGGCAGGCATGCTGGGTCCAACCGAGGCACGAGGGTGATGTTGCCGGATTCATCATAGAAAACCGCCTTGATGTTGGGGGGCCGCCCCAGCTGGATCCGCAGCAGGTTGCTGAACGAGGAAGGCAGGAGGGGGGGCCCCTCCTCCACAGGGACCTGGGAGAGTTCCCGCAGCAGCAGCTCCTTCTCCGAATGGTCCAGGGGCTGCACCACATGCTGAAACCGGGTGGAGTGCAAGGGCTGCGGGCAGGGAAGCCGGGCCTCGGAAGGTCCCCGGGGAGGGGTGAGGGCGGCCCTCCCAGGTGGGGACTCAGTTTGGGGGATGAGGATCCCTTGGCTGCTGTGGGATGACTCCCCGTGCTTGATCTCCAGCAAAGACAGCTGGGCCGTCCATCCTTCCACTTCCTCCTCCATCAGGAGGGATCCCTGAGGCACCTGAGCAGCACCAGCAACGTCCCTCAGGGCCTCTTCGGAGGCAGGCATTTCCTCTGGAAATCCAGCTAAAGGGACCTGCAAGGGAAGACAGGTGAGCGGAAGATTCTGCATGACCCCCTTCCTTGCTGCTCTATATGGCTATATGCCCCTGCTGTGTTTCATTTTATATTTCTACCACCTGATGTGCTGATTGCTAATTTGTTGTTTTTATTTACATTTATTGTTTTAGGTGATTGTAAACCACCCAGAGCAGTGCTTTTGCACTAATGGGGCAGTATACAAATTTAATAAATAAATAAATAAATAAAATATTCACAACCCCTCTCTGTGCCCAGAACAGTCTGTTTGCAAGGCCAGAATGGAATTTTTCATGATTTTAGGGTTACACGGATGGGTGACACTAGAACAGCAGATGATGCTGGCCTCTGAAGATGTGCAGACAAATGAATGATGACCCCCAACCCCAACTGCAGGATATTCCCAAGTCTTTCTAAAATGGAATCCAGAAGCAGAGGCAACTGCTCTCCCAGACTGCAATACAAGACGTGGCAACTGTGCCACGGTGGGATGGGGCTGTGAGAGATTTAAAAACTTATAGGTACCAACCTCTCTCCTGAAAGGGAGACACAGGAGTGGAGTGAGGCCGTTTCCCCTTGGCTTAGCCAATCCCAAAAGGAGAGAAGTATTCCTTCTGCTAATGCAGAAACATGTTGTACTTTCTACTTGGGAGGAAACCCAATTCTGCTGCTGCAAACTTTCAAACATACACCTGCATCCCTGTCTTGATCTAAAGCCCATCCCATCAGGTTCGCAAGGGGTTCAGCCTCTGGCATGTAGGCTCCTCAAAGGGCCAGACTGATTTCTTCCATTTTTAAGAAATTTGAGATATTATTATGGAAGAATGCAAACAGGGAAGTCGAGCAAGAGGGCAGAAGAAACATTTAAAATTGTTCAGGACAGGCAAGAAGCAAGACTAAACAGTGATCGGCGCCTGAATACTGTTTTTCAGCAACTGTCTCATAGAGACAAATAGAACTATTACAATAATGAGTGCAAAGAAAGAGAACAACAAAACATAAAAACAAGAGATCTCTTTCAGAAGATAAAAAAAAAAAATCAAAGGGAAATTTAAGCCTAGATTAGGAATGATGAAAGATGAACAGGGAAACACACTATACGATCAGGAGAAAATAAAGAGAAGGCAGAAACAGTATACTGAAGACTTATACAGAAGAGATAAAACAAAGACAGAATCTTTTGAAAAGAAATTCTATGAGGAAGAATTTGCAGTTTTAGAAAGCGAAGTGAAAGCTGCTCTGAAAGCACGAGGAAGAAATAAATCAGAAGGGGCAGATGGAATACTAATAGAACTATTTCAAACAGAGACTGAATCTATCAAAATCCTAACAAGAATATGCAAATATGGAAAACAAAATAATGCCCCACAAACTGAAAATGCTTGCTATATATCCCAATCCCCAAGATTGCTCCCATGCAAGCAAATTGATGCTCAAGGTATTACCTCATATGTACTGAGAAATGCCTGATGTTTAAGTTGAACACCGAAAAGGAAGAGGCATTCAAAATCATATTGTGATGAGCGGACCTTCTGGAGATCACTCATTCATAAGGTCACGAACACTGTAAATCAGGGGCTTGATGGTACATTCTGACATTCTAATCCTGCTAACACTTCTTCTAGTATGTAATCCTGCTCTTCCTGACAAGCCCCAATGCCATCCTACCTCAGCCTCCTCCAGAGGTGGCCTGGCTGGCAAGACAGGCACAGAGCCCTGGGCCCAGGAGTCTGTGGTGCAAGGCACTGGTTCCTCATCCTCCTGCCAGGAAGGGTCTGCCGGCACATCTGCCTCGCCTTCGTCCCGCACCAGGAAGCGCCATTCAAGGATCTGAAGCATGGCTTCCCGTGCCTGGTTGATGACGTAGGGGATGCACTGCGGAGTGGAAGCACAGGGCAGAGTGAGCAGTGGGTAGAGAGGGTTGGGCAGGGCAGAGCATGGAGTGACCTACACTTCAACTGTCCTGGACCTCTTAAGAGACCCATATTACATAAGAACCTCAGAAGAGTTGTGTGCTGGATCAGGCCAAGGGTCCGTCTTGCCCAGCTCCCTGTCTCTCACCGTGGCCCCACCAGATGCCTTTGGGAGCCCACGAGACTACTAGATATAACTGTGTCCTGATACCCCTCCCCCTGCCTCTAGCATTTGGAGGTACCTTCTGAGTCTGGGAACTATATACATACCCATCATGGCTTGTCACCTGCAATGGACTTTTCCTTCAGAAATCTGTCCAATCCCCTTTTCAGATGCCCTCACCACATCCTGTGGCAAAGAGTTTCACAGACTAACCACATGCTGGGTCAAGAAAGATGGTCTTTTTGTCTGTTCACACTCTCCCAACCCTCCACTGGAGTGGATGCCCCCTGGCTCTGGGACTGTGTGAGAGGGGGAAAGAGCTTCCCTCTCTCTCCATTGTTCTCTCTACCCATTGCTTTGGTCTACAGCCCAAATGCTGCCCTCCTGGAGCAGTCGGGGGCTCAACATCCTTTCTTCAGACCACCAGTGGTAGAAAAACCCGGCAACCTGGGTCTTCCAAAGGACTGGGTGGGTCTACCTTTCCCTTTAGTGCTGCCAAGGTAGATCTTTTTTTCCTGTGCCCTTGCTGACATGGCTAGCAGTGCGGAGATGGAAGGTAAGGGAGAGGGGTCTCCAAAGAAGCCAGTCCCTCCTCTCAGCCTTTTGACTCTTCAGCTTCTGAGCTTATCTGCGGCTTTATCGACGGGGCGCTCTCTGCCATGGCTTGGCTTAGGCCTTAAAGAGGAGAAAGACTCGTGACCCTGCTGGTCCAGGAAGGCCCGTCCAGCCAGGCCGGAGCTTCGCCATATGCATTTCTCTCTCTCCCCCTCCCCCCCCCGCNCATCAACCCAGGACCTGGCCCAGCAGCCCGGCCAGGAAGTCCCCGACGCTGTCCTCGGCCTCCTCGCTGCCCAGCAGGGAGAGCCACTCTCCTTCCGAGAGGCGCCCGGGGACGATCTCCACCTGGGGGGCCGGCACGGTGGGGGGGCGGGACCTCTCCGCCCGCGACTTGGCTTGAGTCA